TTTATATGGGTAAAAGATAAAAATGTCTTATCCCCGCTGTGGACGACAGCACCTATAACTGGCAGGCAACAGAGGGCAGCTTGTATTTACTCCTCCCTAAGTCTTTTCTGTATCATTCCACATAATAGCGCCACTGTGAACTGATTTACTGAGACAGAAGAGACTCCGTAGCTCAGTGACAGGATGTTTACTATCAGCCTGCTAGGAAATGATTACTTCTGGGTAATTTCGAACCTCCAGACTATGATGCAGTACTTCATATATTAAATTGCTGCACATAAAAATACTGGTGCAAAAGAGCCTTGTATTTCATGACTTAATGGAAACTACCACATGGTGTGAATTGGCTTTGGGGTGAGGGGGGCCCTCCGGTACAAACTGTGTAAACGTATTGCTTTTCATTGTATCCCTTCCCTGCCCCCACCATAGATTTCGCTTGCACTAACAGTAACTCTTCTGCTATGGGTGAAAACAGCCTTCTGCAGCGAGGCAGAACAAGGCACAGGCACTATTCAAGTCCCACTAGCTGCAGTTTGTCTTTACTCTTGTGAGCCTGCAACCATTATAGGTGGCCGGGGGACCCCATCACCTCCTCCTCAAACAGTTCCATGCCCTACCGCCTCGCTTCGGGAGTCCAGTTAAATCCCTCTTTGAACTCAGTGGGGAAGTCCATTGACTGTCTTAAAAACAAAGAGTTTTTTGTCTGCCCGCTTGCTCTGACCAGCTCAGAGCATGGGGAATCTCTGCACAGGAACCTGACCATCCTCGAGAGGCGGGACAGGCTCGTGAGTGGAACCAAGATTCAATTCCCGGCTCTTCCCCACATTTCCTGAGTGAGCCATGCCTACTCAGCTTCTCTGTGCCTTGATTTTCCCATCTGTGAACTGGGCTAACATGGCCTTTCTCCCCTCCTTGGGCTGTTAGACGGGGGGCGCTAAAGAGCAAGAACTGTCTCGCCACACAGCCTAGCACAATGGGGCTGTGATTTCAGTTGAGGCCACTCGGTGCTACCATAATACACATAATAACATGCCCAACCTCTAATTTTTTGAGGAACGCCAGGAAAAGACAAAACGAGAGGGGTGCAAACAATGAGGAAAATGGGGAGGAAACGCTGCCAAAGGTAGCTGTCATTTTCATCAGCCCTTGGCAGCACCTGCTACCGGCAATCTGGGCTCCTTGGAAAATACCACAGCTGGGTCCCTCGTGCCCCATCTCGGTGCAAAAGGAGGGTGGGGGAGGCGGGACATAGCTGGGGGAGTGGCGCGCAGCACGATTAAGGCTGAGAACAACACCGCAATCCATTTGTAAAATAATTTTCCCTCAGAAACATTTCCGGGCTATGTTCTCTGATGCTTTTCCCTCTGCTCGGCCTGCCAACAGCACAGCAGAAACGTGTACATAGCTCCATGCTGGGTGGGCTAGAATGCCTGCATGGCCATCAGTGCATATTATATCTGCTTGGATGATCTGGTTTTTGGAAACATGCCGGAGAGAAATAGCAAACTGCTGCCTGGTTAAAGCAAATGTTTCAAGAACGAACAGAACCCAGTAACAAAGCTACTCCAAAAGGATGGGGGCATCAAGAGCACTGGGTTCTGACCAGGGCCACTGGGTTCCGACTTTAATGGGAATACTCATGTGCCTGAACTGACGCACGTGCCTCAGTGTTTGCAGGATCAGGGCGTGGTTCTGGAGGGGTCTAAAACTCACCAACAATTCATTCTATGAGGCAAGGGCAGGGCTTTAAGGATAAGCTGTGCAGCTCCCATGTTCTACATTTCAAGCTTCCATCCCTTTAAGTCTCACCTGCCTGTCATAACTGACCAGGAACATCTGGCACATCTGGGTGGAGCATCTGGAATTTGAAAGGCAAATACTCTCTATTTGTAACAACAACAACAACAACAACAAAGATTTTTCATTGGGCAGTGAGGTTTATAACAACAACATGGGTCACCATAGAGCAAGTCTCTTATCAGTTAGATAACAATCCACTGTTCAGCTTTGCCTAACTGACCTCTAATTGCTGAAGCTGAACCTTATCTGGTTAATTAGACAAGCTGTGGCGATGCCTATTAATTAATTTCTCAACATTCCCTTTTAAACAGAGGCTCACATTTTAATTTCTGACTCTGAATGGGTTTTAGAGAGAAGTGTCAAGCCGATTTTTCTTTCTTCCAGTTCCGAAAATGAACCTCTTGTATGAGAGCAAAGACGACCTAGGTCATCTTGTCCATTTCTATGTGAATGGTTGTGTATCCCCTGGGTTACCTAATCCCCTTTAAACTCCTCCATCCATGAATGGTCATTGTGACTAATGGAGGAACAAAACCCAAAAGGTTTTACTGGTCTTCTTCAGGTTAAGAACCTAAAAGGTTTAGACCACTACAATAGCAACTTTTCAGCTAAGCCCAGCTACTGTTTCAAGCTTCATTCATCGTTTCTGCTAGAACACTTGGAGTGTTCTGCAATGTTCCATTCACCGTTAGCATTAACTCCATTAAGATGACTATAGGCTACAATATTCCACGGCCGAGTCAGTTCTGCCAACTTGGTCTGATCTCTACTTTGTATAAATATACACACATGGGGCCAATCCCCTGGGTCTTGGTTCCGTTTTTTACTCATTCCTTAGGCAAACTCAGTTGAACTTAATGGAGGTTTCAGCTAAATAATGATTGAAAAAGCATCTCTCACTTTGACCCTTTTAAATCAATGCTTCTAAGAAAGATGAGCTCAACCACAGCATGGAAATCTAGATCCATGCCTCAAGCACCCCAAAATTCAGGTGTGCTTGGATCGCCCTCTAGACAATAACTATAACTGGAATCCTATCCCTCCAACATGCCCTGTTATTGATCTGTTGCTAGCTTCGCCATTCAAACAAACAGGAAATGCCATATGTCAGCACTGAAAACCAGAGGAGAAACCTGTCGCGCTTTGATGAACTCGGCTGAGTGCACCTCTCCTGCCCCAGCCTCGGATCCAGCACTGTTCTCTTTTTACTTGCCATTTTTAAAAATTAGCATCTAAACGACTCTGTCCACATAGTCCCTGGAACCTGGAAGGGGCTACATTTTAATAACTGCGAGAGTAATATGTGCATGGCAGGGAATGCTGGGATTGTAAAGAAGATTCTCTGCCCCACGCTGCAGGAGTAGCTAATAACCCGGTCATGGCTTGTATCAATGTAGCTGCCCCAGTGTAAACAAGACCTTCCTTGAGGTTTTGCACCGCCTAGGATCTTGGAGATGCAATTTAGTCAAGATTTCACTGTCTGACCGAGGACCTAAATGAAAAGTCAGGCCTTGATTGTATGTTTATAATTAAATGCTATTTGTTGCCCGCTAATGATTGACTAATATTAGAAATTCAGGGCTGTGTAGATCTGCTAGGTGCATAATGAGTAGTTTTTTTTTACTGCTGCACTTGTCTTGTAGCCATACCCAGCTGTTATCTCTTGCCTTTATCTAGACTGTATGTTCTTGTCTTTTAGTAGACAATTGTACAGGGCCCCTCATCGGAGTTGACCCGCAGGGTTTGAACCCAGGATCTTTAGTACCAAAGCACTATAGACCTCTACCATTTGAGGTAAAGGATTAGTTCCACGTGCACTCATGAGTAGTGAACTGTTATCCTCTAGTGCTCTAGCCAATAGCAAGGATACATGTATTTTGCCAATATGTTGCATTACCATAATACAACTAGTAATAATTTGATCACATAGCTTCTCTGAAGCAGTCAGTTGTGTTTCATATTGTTCTCTGGAGATTTCAAAGGTTGTTTTCTCCAAGGAGGAAGGGGAAAAAGGCCAAGCCCCATAAATTTAATCCAGGAATATTACTAATACTGCAGTGTTTAGACCATTTCTTATTCAGAGTCTATAACCTGGAGTCAGGTACACATGCGGAGTACTCTGAATATATTTACAATAAAATCAGCATAATGCACAATTAATATTCAGCATGTGATTAATCAAAAAACTCCATTCCATATTCCAATTAGGCTCACTGTTCACTGGCATAGCCTGTATTTTTGTTTAAATGCATATGCCCCCAATTGGAATTCAGAATTTATGGTAGCTGCTGAATGCGCTGCTCCCTGATGGCAATAAGTTATATTCCCATTATGCAGCATGCAATAAAAAAAAAAAGGCTGATATTTATTTGCTGGATTTGGAGAAAGTCTTAGAAACCCACACAGCTACTCCAGTGTGGCTCCATAGTTCACACACCACGTCGCTCTAACCCATTACTGGTTAGGGAAGCCGGAGGCAGCACTTGAAAAGCTGAGAGGCATTCTGCAGAAAGGTTGTTATAGCTAGAGATCACCGGAGAGCCCTTGTTACTTGGGAGCCTAACGTAACCCTGCAGTAAACAAGCACTGGGGAAGCTGAAAACATCAGAATGAATGCAGTGGGTCAGAAAATCTAAATCTAAATCTACAGACAGACAGGGGTATGGTCACCATGCATTGCTGACCAGCCTTGTTAATACCCTTGGTAATTAGGCCTGCTGACTCGGTGTCATTCTAAACCTTCTACCCCCAGAATGGCACTGGGGGGAGCCTTTATTCATCTGTAGGAGGAGCAGTGAGAACCCAGGCGAGGCTGAGTGAATGCTCTGTTTGGAAGTACAGCGTGGGGCATGGCTCCCACCTGGGTCTCCCAGTGGCCAGGAGTGCACTGAGTGCCTTCCAACAAAACTCTGAATGTCTGTGGCTGGAAAGTACGCTGCAAACAACTGAGTGGTGTGAAACTGCCCCTGTGTCCCCTACCAGCTGTCTCCAGCCCAGGTGACACAACCCCACTACACCGAGCCAGCAGCCCCTCAGAGCCACCAGCTGGAGAGGCGAGCAGAGCAAAGGATAACCGTTATTTTTAGGCTGCGCACCTGTGGAACGAAAGCCATTGATCCGAGCTCATAATTACATCGTTATCTGTGCCCTGTGAGATAAAGAGACTTCCAGCTGCAAGCTTTTGGAAAAACAGAGCTATAAAGAGGATAGAAAAGGGATTGATTTATTTGAGCGCCTCTATTTTTAAATTAAATTTTACATTTTTTAAAAAAAAGAAAACTTTTCCTAAGATGAAAAGGACAGAAACATTTCAGTCAGACAGTCCCACAGTCACACTCCATGGTGGCTGTCCAATGGGCAGCTTGTCACACTGGGAGGGGCGGTCCAAACAACGGCCCCGAACCTGCTGCCCTTCATAGGGTTGCATCTATGCTGAGCCACGTAGGAGGATTTTCCGTTCTTCTGGCCTTCTGGTTTGGGAGTCGCTTTCCAGGGAACCACAGAGTGGGGAATCTGAAAGGTCTTGTAGAAAAGAGATAAAATGATCTGCAAGCACTGGACAAGGAAATCTGCCCAGACCCTCAATTAAATGAATCCATATATTCATAAGGCCAACAGGATTCCTCTTAGTTTAACACTTTCCCCCTCCCTTTCATTTCAGCCACTAATTAGGATTATATTTATTTATTTTTATTTAGACCTGGTTGAAATTTTTCATACACTTTTTCTTTCCCCAACAAAAAAATGGGCATTTGCCCAAAATGTAAATTTTTGAGAACAACTTTCTTTTTGGTTGACATTGCTTTTTAATAAGAACACCCCGTTCTCCTCCTCTGCCCTGGAAAAAGGGAGGGACAAAGTAGAAAGGAAAGGGGGAGCTTTGCCATCAAAACTTTTCTCATTTAAAAAAAAAATCAGGACAATTTTTGTCGGAAAACGGAAAATGTCCTGAAAATTTTCCAGTTTCCTCAATATTTTTTTTAACTTCAAAATTTCTCGAGAAACACTTACCATGTTTCAACCAGCTCTGGTTAACCCCAAAACTTTTGTTTGTTTCTGAATATGGAGTTAGGCTAATTTTAGGTCTGAACATTTTGACCTAAAGATTTCGAAGACCACTGCTAGTCCAGTGTGTAGTATACAGGGGCTAGAACGTCCTCTCTTCAGGGCATAAATTCATAATATTCCAGTGGCCAAATGATCAATACACCCATTTTTTTCTAGTAACTGAGGCTGTTTTTCTACTTGTGCTGAAGATGGGTGTTTGTCCTCGTACAAAGTTTGATTGGTTTTTATTAGCACTGTACCTGTGCACATCTTCCTGGTCTACTGCATTAGTACCGCTCCACTGCCTACATTTAGTGTTTCCGTCAGTGATCTGCCATGAGTAATTAAAAAAAAACAGATGCCAACGAGAGGCTTCTAAGCTGTTGGGAGACTGGGTAGCTAACAGTCCCTGTGAAAGTTACACCACAGTTAGTGAGAGTCACCCTCCTAGCACAACAACAAGTTGGCTAAGCACGAATAGGTGGCGTGAACTGGCTTTTGGTGCAAAGAAGCAACACACAATCACACTACTCAGAGCTCAGCTACCCATAAGGACTCCTCCATTGAAGCAATGGGAGAACCTATCAACGTGCCCATAAGCCACTGCCCAGGGGAAGCCCTGAAAATATCTCCCAGAGCTCCCCTCTCTACAAGGGGGAGGGACATATTTGTACACCGCTTCGTGGCATGTCCAACCTTTACATCTGGTTCAGCTCATTAGCAAAAGAGGCCGGTTGCACAATGCAGATGGTTCTTGGGGTACCCAGGACCGTGAGTCACCTTGCTACCCTTTGCCAGCAGGACGGAGTGTGACATTCCAGGATGCAATTCAGACCAGTGAAATGATGTGTCACCCCCACTCTGCAACCTTGGGTGCCCCTGAGTGTGTGTGTGTGGAACTGCAGCCTGCTAGCTACACTTGGATTACACTCTGGCTCTCACCAGCCTTGGTTATATTGCAGGGTGACCCCAACACACTCCTAGTCCCGGCTTTTCTCCCAAAAACTTGCGTTTAGCACTGTCCAGACCTCTCCTGGACAGTCCAGAAAGATGAGGTCTGTTGTCCCGTTAAGGGAACATTATCACAACTTGCCACCTTAAATGGAGTTACCCAGATAATTTAACTTAAACACACCGGATTAGTTTCAATTAAAGAATAAAACACGTTTATTTAACTGCAAAGAGGGAGATTTTAAGTGCGTACGAGTAATGAGGCATAAAAGTTAGAAATGGTTACAAGAAAAATAAAGTTAAAATGCTTCCTAGTGCCTAACTTGAACTATACTTGATTGAAAGTAGAGTCGTTACCACATCCTTCTAATAGCATTACTAACCAAACTTTTCAGGTCAGGACCCTTCCCCCAAAGTCTAACAGCTGTTTCTTTTGTCTTCTCGGGTGCAAAGAGGGAGCTGGGCAGGGAGAGAGATGCCTTGGGGTATTTGCCCCTCACTATTATGGTTCAGCCCCCCCATAAAGTTCTATTCAGCTGAGCAGAAGGAGACGTGGAGTCTAGTGGGGGGGGGGAGGTTGCTACGTTGTTTTCTAAGTTGCAGCTCCGTTTTTTTCCTGCCCCCTTTCTTTGCCAAAAAATGGCCTCTTGATAGGGTGATAGCCCATCAGCTTTGAGGACACCTGGCTAGTGGCATCGGCTTGTCCTTTGTCTTTGAGAAACAGATTTACCCACTTCCCAGACCTATTTAGTGAACTTCAGTCATGATTTCCACTTATGTTCATAACTTTACATATTTGTTAAATACACTTTACTATGATATTATTGACCAGTGAGTTATTAGTTTTTAAATGATGCCTTACAAGGCATATTTTGTACAAAGATGATTACAGCCATGTGTGGGCTGGGAATACAGGGGGGTATTTCACCAGAGGGAGACTTGCTAGTGTTTAGCTGGGTGTCAGCTCCCTGACACCACCAGCCTGTTAACCAGCCAAGCACTCTCCTCTGGGCAATGCTAGCCCTTACTGTGCTTTGCTGGTTAACAATAGGTGTGCCCCAATCCCTATGAAGCTTTCCCCTGTAGTGCCCAGCCCCTTCTCCTCTGAACACTGACAGTAATATCAGGCCTGCTGTCCCCGTGGAAACAGTGCACACACCAATTTGTATGCTAGAACTCCCAGTGCTTAATAACACAGCACTGAGATATATTCAGAGTGAAAACAATACATTTGTGATCAAAGATTCAAGCAATTGGGAGCAAGGATAATGGAAACAAAAGGAATATAACACAAACTCATAACACATTTTCTAGAGACTAAACTTAACAGGCTAATCTGCTGTCTAAAGAAGTCTTATCGTACCAGAGTCAAAATAACCCCTTGGGCTTATTTCCTGTGTGCTGCTGATTGATTTCACATCACCCTGTTGACTTTGTATGAAGCTGTGCAGCCAGTGTGTTAGCTTACAATGCTTGTTTTACATGCCAACAGAGGGACAGGTGAATAATCATCTGTTGTCTGATTGAAAAACCTGATGGTCAACTCTATCATGATGCAGCACATTTTCAGTATAGGTACATAACTCCTGGCATGGCTGTGACATGTATGCCTAGATACTATATTAATGACCAGCGTGACCCTGGCTTGCATTTAAGAGCTTGCATGATATTCTTTGGTGAACTAGAATGTCTATACCAGGAGCGGGATATTCTTGTAACCCCCTTCCCAGCCTAGTATTGAGGGGGGTTGGGTGTTACACCTATATCCCAGGTGAGCACCACTTTTCCAAAGCTCAATAGTGTTCAGAGCCAGGCACATCACTCACTGCAGTCCTGAAAGGAGACCAAGAAGATGGGCTAAATAACATCCATCCACATCTGACCAGCGTAACCTACCCTGCTTGGGTCTTCAGCAGCATTTCAGTACTAAAACCCTGAACCTCTACCATTTGAGCTAAAGGACTAAGGGTATTACCTAGCAGCTACCCCACAAGCATGGATCAGCCACTAGAGGGGGACAAAGGAAATGCCACACCCCAGAGGCAAATGGAATTCTGCATAAGGAGAATAATTGCCTCACTGGTAACCTTGTTCTGAACCAGAGTTGTTTTATCTTTTGGGGTAGCTGAGGTAAAGTCTCAAGCATGACTGGTTTATGTCTGTAGGAAACACTGAGGGCCAGATTTATCTCCATGGGTCCTGAGTGAAAAGCAGGGTGGCGCTATACAGGGGGCAGAGTGTTTACTGAAAAATGGTGAAATACGAACCAAAATGTTGTTATTTTTAAAAAGTATCAGAAACCAGGTGACAGAGAGAGAGGAATGAGGATCACACAATAAAATGTTCACCCACCAAATCTCTGAACCACGAAGAATTGAATATTTCACATTCCGGTTCATTCAGATTTTGTGAGATTGCTTTAATTCGGCTTGCTTGCAGCTCATGAGCTGGACAAAGGAGAGTACTAGCTGCCATTGGCTAGGTGAATTACCTGCGCACTTCATTTTACCAGTGGCCAAGAGCAATGGCAAGTTTTTACCTCCTGCAAAGGGCATGAAAATAATATTGAGACATTAGATGCAATCTGAGGAACTACTGCCATTTGCTGACTTGAGTCCATTTTATTTTATGTTGGACAAGTGAAAAAATGACACCATAAGACCAGATTTACGGGAGTTGGAAAGAACAGGAATTGCATTACAAAGTTATTGTCAGACTTTTAGGTCCTAGTCCTGCAAATTGCTCAGGGTACAGGATCAGGGCCCAAGTGGGTAGACCCTAAGAATACAAATGGGGACATCCTGTCTAACTGCCTACACTATGCAGGTCTCTTCATTCTTACAATAGTCCCACCAATGCTTCATATCCCCTGCTCTTAATTCTCTGCAGTAACAGAAATTGGGCATGAAAAGAGACTCCCTTTCCCAAAAGAAGTGATCAGAATCCCATCACTGCAGAATACTGGGACCAGGGCATCTGTCAATTTAACAGGATACTTGGATCTGTGAGATTTATTTCAAGGGGAAGGTGATAAAAAGAGAGAGTAAAAGGAAGATGGATCATACTAGGTCCTATCACAGTACTTGGAATCATGTTACTTCTTAAACAGGAGTCACTTATTAAAGAAAACAGCAACCGACACAAACAGGCTTCCACACAGCTCTAGTTCCAGCTTTGTCACTCTTATTTACCAGGTACCACAGATTATCTGGAATTCTGTACAGCTCGCAGATACCTAGTGGCTGAATAATGTACTGCAAGTAAACCTATCATTACAGACCCTATAGTTTTCATGGGCTACAGCTCTCTATTCCAGAAAAGGGTGGTCACGTCTCACTGTGCATGATTCAGGCTTGCCACACCCTGGCTCCATCAGACCAATAGAACCTGCATGCTTGTACATTGAAAGCTCTTGGGCAGCCTGACCTGCATTATATATATCCTGCCTCAAGAGACGGCAAAAACCTTACACCTTGTCAGCTCTTCAACTCAGTGCTCATTCAGCCAAAGAGGCCTGCTTCCCT